TGTTTTGGAGGTATCCGAGAGACGATTTAAACGTATGACTGTAATTTATGGCTTTGGCATTTATGTTACAATGATTTTTATTTTTTGTAATTACGATTTTATAAACTACTATGAAAAAACACTGAAAATGACCTTTTATGTCGTCTACAAGTGGTGTTTCTATTAGTTCAACATATTTCTATTGTCGAAAAAATATTCATAACCAGATACGATATCCGCAAACAAGTTTTGTATTTAAATTTTAGATTGAATTTTGTTCAGTATTGTAGTTTATTTTAAAAAAAAAAAAACTTCTCTGTTTTGACGATCTAGCCAACCAAAACTACCAAATTATTGAAAAAAAAATATTCCAAGCCTTGGCGATCAGAATCATTCAAATAATATTGCAACTATGCACCCGGGATTCATTAAATATAATGGGCAGTTTTTAACACTTTTTCATTAAGCATGCTCACCCCATTTTTTGGAGTAAATTATGTGTTTATGGAAATCATGATTTTGGGAATATTTAAGTGCAGTTAAATACGATATTTTCGTAAACTTAGATTTTTCACAACATTCAAGGCGTATTCTGCTGGCGAAAGCTGGTAAGCTTTAGTTAATCAAATGAGAATCTATATTGAAAATTCCATAAATAGATGGAGTTATTGCTAAGATTGTAGTTAAAATAAATTTAAAATTTTACTATAATTATTTTAATTTTTAAAGGAGTATTTTACACCGTCTATTTATGGGATGTTTAACGTTGATGCTCGGTCGAAAAACTAAAGCTGGTATTTTCAACAGGATATTCCTTCATATTTGTGAGAAATCTAAGTAAGCATACGAAATATCGTCTTTAATTACACTTAATAATTCCAAAATCCAGAATTTTAATATTGTTATGCATGATTTACTCATGAAAATGAAGTGAGCGCGCTTAATGAATTACCCCTACAGTACAGTGAACAATTATTTATGAATCATTCGAGAAGTAAATAATAATATTTCGATTTGTTTCCTCATATTATATATATTACACACGTGTATTTTTAACAATATTGTTTGTTTAAAGCTCGATCGAAGAACACGTACCGTTTTGATAGGAAATTCGATTTTCGTTATAAATTATTTATACGTACTAAAAGTCTTTCGATTTCACGTTCAATTTACTGCGGAGAACTTGAGAAAATATCGTGTTTTAATAAATTATAGACTATAGTGATTAATAATGAATTAAAGAGTAAAAAAAAAAAAAAAAAGCCGATACTGTTGATGGGTAGGCCGCTGCTGTAGGTAGGGAAGTAGGAAATTTAGGATACAAAAAGTAACCTGATTCAGTATAAATTTCGAATTCAAAAATCAAAAACCAAGAAAAAATTTGACGGTTCCACGGTCAAAAAGATCGAAATTTCGATCGCAGAAGCTCGTAATGCGATCGTAGCACACGGTGCTGGCCGTTGTGTCGGAGACGGCCCGACCGGGGTGGCCACTGCGTCGACCAATCGAAACACCTGTTACCGATATTCAATTTTTACTGATGATTTATACTACACGGAGCGGCGAAAACAAAAAACAATTACAGTCGGTCTTCGGACGGTATTGTTGTGAATAATATCATATTTTTGTGTTTTCGGATTTTACCCCGTTGTCGGAAAAAAACTACGAGGATTCGGACGAGGAAAATGAAACCTCCCCGAAGCTCCGCAACTCGATCCGAGACCGTTTCTCAAGTGGTGTCCAACGGGATTTTCGACCGGACCGAGTGAATTTTCCGACCGGACCTCCTAACCGGGAAAACCCTTTGTTGAAAATCCGTCGGTTTCGTGTTTCGGCGCATTTCGACGCGCCGCGGCAACCGATACGGTATTCCCGTCACTTCCACACGGTCGAAATAACCGCACGGGCACGAACATAACGAGCGACCGCGGCGCCGCGCGTATTCCCCCGCCATCAATCCTCCGCCGCGCAATAATATTTAATCAGTTTCGTTGCCGCGCGCGGCCGCAAACGTTTAAGAAGCGGTTACTTTCGCGATCAATAACATTATTATTATTATTATTGTTGTTGTTGTTGTTGTTGTTGTTATCAAATCACGTCGTTGAAACAATGCGTTTGCGGACGCGTGTTTCGCGCGTTAACGAGGTGTTCGCGGACGTCGGCTTTTCGCCCGCGAAATGATCCGCGAACGTCGCGGCCGCTCTCGACGGGTACCGCGGGACCGGACCGTCGCGGCGGCGCGGACACGACGTGAAATCCGACGCCGCGCGATCCCGAACGGGGCGCGGAGCAAAAGCGCGCGTCGAAAACCGCCCGTACCCGCGTAATAAAACGGTTGCGGTCGTGCGCGCGCGCGCGTTTCGCGTGCGGCGTAAAAAGATCGCGGTCTGGTCGGGTTGCGCGTTTGGTCTTTCGTGTTTTTACGTAGCGTCGACGAAACGACGGCGCGTTTCGACGACTTTGCGCGGCCCCGCGCCACGGGTTCGGACCGACGGTCCGGCGGCATTACGGTAGCGGTGCGTAGCCCGTAATAATACGGTCGCGTCGTTCGCGGGACGTTGTTCGCGACGTATTACACACACACACACACACACACACGGTCACGCGTTTTACAACAAACGAAACAACAGTCATTTTTACCAACCGCGTTACCGGGGTAATGCAGGAAAAAAAAAGTTGTTCTCGGAGAGAGCCATTTGAAGTGAACGTTATACAGTGTGATTTATATTTATATCTGTTCGCGGAGATAAGCCACGGAAAAACGATTCTCAGCGGAGTATTGTTGGTGGTGTTTTTATTCCCATTTTGTCGAGAAATCAGCACAAATTATATATATAAAAAAAAAAAAAAAATAAAAGAAACGACAGGAATTGAAAGTCTTTTCCATTTTTATTGAGGAAATTACAAGAAAAATCAAAAAATCACCTCCCCAATGCACCGACCGCGTCAAAAACAATACGAGAAAATGTGTGTAACGGTTTTCGATCGGAGATAAGTTGTTAATGGACTCGAAAAAATATAAATACATTGTAGCCGAACAAAAACATTAGATTTTTGCGACCAAAACTCAAGTTTCAGGCCACCCTTTTGGGATTGTATTTCCTGAAATTCGTAATGATAAAAATAATAATAATTTAAACAGTGAGCAATCGTCAATCATAATCATTCGGCCGCAATGTTGAATTACGACAAAAACAAACAAACATTCTATACTGTTTATTTATTTATATTTGTTTGTGTTATTTATCATCCAACCAATCACTGCAGAAGTCAATATAAGTACAACGCTCGATACGTGTTCGATTTCCGCGCGCTTTCGGTTGCAGCAGAGTTATTGCGGTGTAACCCGGAACAAAAGGAATCGCGAGGAATTCGACGGAGAAACGGTGTATCTACCTGCATACGGTGGAAGAACAATATTTTTCACAGTCTCGAGGAAAAAATACAAAGTTTACGGACGGTGTTTTGAAAAACATATAAACGTATATAAAACGACGCCGTCCGTTCATTTATATTTATTGTAAATTTTCAAACTTTTCGTAAGAGTGCGAGAAAATTTTTCCAAACGCCGCGCTCTCGTGGTGCTCGTATTAAACCGCATATTAAACTCGCGCCGTCTCAAGACCGTACAGATTCCGAAGAATGCGACTTAACGGCCGAGCTCTCTTTGCATTATTGTCATTCCGCGGTGCGCGCCGTCGTATTGTTATAATGGTGCGTAGCAGCACATTGCTGACCGCGGGGCCGTCACGTTGTTATGATGACGCGAAAAACGGGTACCGTTTTTGACGACCGGCAGTGGAGGGGGGGGGAGGGGAGGGAAATACCGTTCGCCGTCCGGTTATTATCGCGGCGCGTTTACGCGACGTGCGGTCCGGCTGCCGCCGTAAAGTGGCCTCGTCGTCGGAGCACTCGGGCACGCGACATTGTCACCCCGTCATCGACACCGCGGCACAAGTCACAGTTACCACCACCCCCCCACCACACACACACACACACACACGCACACCCACCCACCGCGATACTACGTGTGCGCGCGTAGTGGATCACACGTGGCGGTGGCGGCAACAGCGGTATGTGATTCGTGTTCGCGGGGTAAATGACGAGGAGATCCCGAGCGCGCGCGCGCTCGGCGGACGCGTGGGCACCGGGTGCTGCGCGCGGAGTGGGTATACGCGCACCACTCGTATACGAGTATAATATGGGTGGGATCCATTCATACGGCGCGGCGCGTTGCATCAAAACGACCGCAAACGCGGAGCAGCGGCGTTCGTCGTTGCCGGAGCGAGGGACAAAAATGTTGATTCGATTAACCAGCCACCGTTGTCCCGGCGGCGTCCGCGCGGTGCGCCCGACTACGACGTCAAGGCGGCGGCATCGCGCGCGGCGGACCGTCCGCGCGCACGGTACAGCACCCCGTTCGCCGACGCCCAAAATCGGCGGTGGCGGCGGCGGCGGCGGACGATGCGCGCACTGCCGGGAGATGGTATAGCCGGCGGTGGCACGCGCGAGGCGAACGCGGCTGCGGCTTGCCCCGCGCGCAGACCGGACGGGGTGGCGGCAGTGGTGCAGGGCACTGCCGCTGCCGCCGCGTACGTTCGAACGTTTCGCGCGCTCGACTACGACGACGACGGCGGCGGCGGCGGCGGCGGCGGTCGATACCGCGGCCGCCGCCCGTTTCGCGTGCCTCGAGCGCCGCGCCCCACACACATACAAACACTCTCGCCCGCGTCCGTGTGTACGCATACCGGTTACCGGCGTGCCGCGGCGCGCTGTCGTTTCGCGCATGCACACCCACACGCACACGGACGCACGCGTACGCCCGTAAACGAGTATACGCGCGCGCACTAAACACAGACACAGACACCGACGACGTCCGGCGTCTTTAGTACACGCAAGCAGCAGCAGCGACAGCAGTATTGTGTGTGGTGTGTGCGCGCCGTTCGTCGTTGTCCCGCTGCACGATCATCGTGAGTTTTCGCCGTCCCGTAGTGCACAACAATAATAACAATAATAATAATAATTATTATTATTATTACTATTATTATTATTATTATTATTATTATTATTATAATTATTATTATTATTAATATTATTAATATTATTAATATTGCCGTTATTATTACGCGAATATAACCGCACGCCCGTCTGCCCGTAATCATCGTCGTACGCATTCTCCGGCGAACGAAACCGGGTCCGCTCGTTCCGTGTGACACTATTGCCGTCGCGAAATAATATTTTCATCGCATTATTAATTTTAACACGGTCGCGTTTTCGTTTTTCTCGCGTTCTGTCCGCGTCACCGTCTGATGGCCATGCCCGTCTGGACAGCCGCCACCGTCATCTGGACGATCGACGCTCGACGTCCGCCGTCCCGGTCGGCACGGCACCCGGCCAGCGGCCGCTTGTGATCCGCGCCCCGCTCGTTTGCGCGTACGATGACGGCCTTCACGGTTACCGCTGTCGCTCTTATTTTTGTTATCGTTGTCGTCGCTGTTTTCCTCTTCGCTATTTCCCTCGTCGCTTCAGATACCGCCGCTGTGTTGACCGTCACCGGCACGTCGACCGGTCGCGACGCGGCGTCCCGGCGCTGAGAAGAATAATTATTAGTGTGTGTGTGTGTGTGTGTGTTTGCACAGTGCGCGCGCGGTCTCCCGTATCCGATCACGGCGGTGGCGTGCGCGTCTCGCTCTCCGGACGATATGAAGTGCTCCGTTCCGCGGGACTCGTGAACGAAAATGCAACGTGACGCGACCACAGGCACTTCCACTACTGTCACTACTACTATTACTGCTACTATTACTGCTACTAACATTCGTGCTGCAGCCAGCGCAACAGCGGAAACGAACACCGACGCCGACAGCGCGTTTGCGACCACCACCGTACCAGTGCTAAAGGCCACAGCGATTGAACAATGAACATCACCGCCGGACTGCTGATGGCCGTGGTCTTCGTCTTTTCACAGATCATCCGAGGTAAAATATACACACGCGCACAACCGTTACACCGCGATGTTACGATTATTGTTTGAAATAGAATAAAAAGGCCGAATCCGCGTAGACAACGGCCGCTTACTTTTGGGCTCGTTAAAACGGTTTCCCACCGAAACCGTAAACGGTTACGGTATCGCGGCGATACCGCGTGACGACGGCGACGGCGACGCGCTCTCCGGGATGAGATCGCGTCGTCGTCGCCGGCAGCGAAACATCGTGAATAGAGCTGATAACGAACGAATTAATATAATAGCGATAGTAATAGTAACAGTAGTAGTAGTAGTAGTAGTAACAGTAAGATTATGATATTAGTGTATTAGCAAAAGCGTAATATTATGATGAGTAGTGAATAGCGTTAACACGATAACATTAGTATCGCGGTACGCATTGTAGCGACGGTATCAGCGGTAGTAGTGGGTACGGCCGGTGATAGTGGGGTGATCGCCGCGGGCGGAGAGCTCGGTCACCGGAACCTATCGCCGACTCCGGAAAAAGCGTTTAGCGCTCCGATTCCGAGGATTGTTTTCGAGGAGCGTTTTGGAAAACACGACCCCTCCCCTCCGTTTCCCCCACCCCCCGGCCCGCCGCCGCGGGATCCGCGGTATTATTTATCGTATTATCGTCGCCGTCGCATAGTTATCGTCGCGGGTACCAGCGCCGATAAAAACGCGCGAAAACCTCGTCGTCGGCGGTTGAAATGTGCGAGAAACTCCGCGGCGTCCGCATCGTTTAAACGAACGTTAATGCGATTTATCGCGCCGCGAGGACCCCGGCCGTAAGTGAATTTCCGCGGGCGGCGGGTTCGACGGCGGCCGTAATGAGATCGCCCGCGGATACGGGAAATGCAACACGCACGTGCGGCGACGGGGTACCGTGCGCGCGATACGCCGGAAATCTTTACGCGTCCGCCGAACGTCCCGGCGGTCCATTACATACACGCGTAATACACGTGTACGCGTTTAGGCGAGCCGGAGTTGCGCCGCGGGCACGCGTGTGGATTCGATTTCGCGCGTTCGGCACGTCTCGCGCGTTCGAACAGCGCCGCGAACGCGCGGCCCAAATCCGATTACGGTCGTTTCGCGTTAGAACGGTACCGTATCATCACGGCGTCGCACCTACGCCGGCCGGAAGAGCAGCGAGAGACGTCCGTAGTTTTCGGATTGCCGTTACCGCGTTCCGACACAACCGCCGCGGAATTTCTCCGGCGGCAGCGATTGGGATAGGCAGGCGATGCGAAAACACAATAATCGCGGTCCGCGAACGAACGAACGAACGGCAGGACCGTCTTCTCTCCCCCATCCCGCCACCGACCCACCCAATCCGACAACAACAATTCGAAAACCGGATCCGGAAAAGCCGATTTCTGTTCGACAAACCGAACTTTTCCCCGCGTAACTCGACTGAAACGTTCAATTGCGATCGGATTACCAAAAACCCTCACAGTTTTTGTATTACGGAGCTAATGACGGCGGGATCGAACTACAAATCCTTAACAGCCGCCTCGACCCTTCGCCGCGTCTACCGTTGCACGTAGTTCGTCGGCATTACAATCGTGTTTCGATCGTCACACTCGACATTTCCGTAACGATGTCACGAACCATTCGATATTTCAGTTCGTTCGGAGTTATAATTTCAAAACTGCGAATCGATATGGGTTTACGATTCGAAACGATCAACGTAGAATGTCGCAGAATCCGATGTCTGCGGCGTTTTACGGCATACATTGCATACACTGTAGACGTGAACGTTCGTTTTAAAAACCTTCGGTATTCGTTCTTCAACTTCTTCATCGCCTTTGTCCGGTCAACGCTGCAGTTACGGTTCGAAAACCCAACAGTTTATAAGTCCAACGTTCCGCGAGTTCTCTAATCGCCGTATTATTCATTCCCGTTGTGTCGCGAAAACCCGAAACGCTGTACACTGAGAAAACTAGACGCGTGTAATAACTATTTTGGTTTGTTTTTTGTTTCGTTTTCAATAAAAAAAACAAACTAAAACCCGACGAAATCGCGGGTACCGGCCGCTGATTAACGAACGGATGTTATTAATGTTTTTCGAATCGATGATAATTTATTTATTTTATCGCATTATAACACCCGTTTGTTCATATTTTATAACTGCACGCCGAATCGTTCAAGTAACGACCGTAACGGCGCATTATGCACGCCTTTAAACAACTTTCAATTAATTTAACGCAATTATTATATCCATCGCGAATTTAAATATCGGGTTGTTGTAAATTGACCGGGCCGTTACGACTGAACGAGCCGTTAATAATTTATTACAATACACCTATCCGATAACGAAGTACAGCAGCGAAATATTTAACGAACCGATGCGAAAAATATTAAAATCACATTTTGCAATACGTAACAATTTATAATAATTATTGCTCGCATTATTACTCTATATTACTATAGGCAGGTAGGTATCCACTTTGTGTTGCGTTAAAGTCATCGCGGTCGGCGCGTCGCACAGAACTCGCACCGTTAAAATCGTACGATTTTATACATATTCAGGGATAATTATTTTTCTAGGCGGGAAACAGGTTTCGCAGACATTTCTCTGAAAAACACAGCGCAGTAGAGATATCTCGAGTGCGTCCCGTTTTTAATTTTATCCTTTTTCATAGCCCGGGCGCGTCCCCGGTCTTATCGACAAATTATTTTGTCGTATCGACGCGGCCTCACGTACCTATTTATAAATATTTAAAAACTGATACACATAACAATTGATTTAGTTTCAATCAGGATAATAAAACTCAGTAACACTTTTTAGATTCTGAGCAGAGTATTCTGCGTATTCTGAGAGTATTGGTTTTACAATGTTTATAATTATTATTGATTTTTTTCTATTAACAATTTTTCTACCAGAAATCTGGCTCCGATTTTCAAATGTTGTACCTTTTTTGAATGTAAATCTGACTGGGGTGAGGTAGAACTATAAAGAGGTCATTTTTTGAATTTCTAAGGAGTTTTCATAATAAATGGGAAAAAACGGGAAAATGTACGAAATTTTTTATTTTCAAATCGTAAATATTACGGTATTTCAAAACATGTATAACCAAACTCCGTTCAGAATCATTTTCCATTTGAGATGATTATTTTTTGCGTAAACTTTTTGCTATATATTAAATTTCTCCTCTACCTTTCCAACTTCTCATAATTTTTTAAGTAATTTCTTAAAGATTTTATGACTTTTTTGGTCATTTTTTTTTTTTTTATAGATTTTAAATGCAATAAGTCCCAAGCCCTGATTATAACCGAAAATCGTTCCAAAGCTGAAAATCAATTACACTATAGATATTTGTAAATAATTAACAAAGAAAAAAAAATTGTTATAATTTTCAGTTATATCGTGCAGTATTTTTGGAAACTCGTGTAGAAAACCGCTCCAATCGTGAAATTATTTTTTATGACGAAATAATATTATAATATAGTTTAGAAAGAACCCAGAGTATGATTGCAGCGTAAGTGTAAAGTCAATACAACACTTAATACTTGACTGCCCACTACGGAGATACGACGGCGACTTGGAGGACTTCACCAAAGTAACCCCGGAGGCATTAGCTTGGTTGAATTCTCTGGATGTTGATATTTAGTTTGATTTAATTTACTTTAACGTAATATTTAATATGTTATTTTTGCTTGAACCTTAACATTTTTTGTTTATGTTAATTATTATAATAATTTAATTTGTTACCTAATAATGAATTCAACTTAGTTCTATCGTTTATTGTAATGTCACACGAATAAAAAAATACAAATATAACATTTAATCCACGGAATGAATGTAACAAATCGTCCGGCGGTTCGATGACTACGAAGACTACGGCCAAAGCTCATTTATTAGTATGGGGTGAACTGGTATCATAGATATTGAAAACAAATTTCAGGGAGGGAGTAAAATTTATTTAGCTATACTTACATATTTACGTTTAGACGTACGCCATTGGACCCGTTTTCAACACCAGTTACGTCATTTGACATACCTATAAAATTCAATTAACAATTTTAAAACAAGCCCGTGTCGCCTCTTTACCCGTAAAATCTACAACTGTAGAAAGACGATATTTAATAATTGCATAAATTACGATTTTAATTTTGTCGGGAAATATACATAAGTACACGTCGGGCCGTCGTTATGCAAATAACGAGTGGTGAATGATAATAATAATAATAATAATAATAATAATAATAATAAAAAAAAAGAATGATACTGCTGATAGGTGTGCATTAAGGAGGAAGTTCGAAGGAAGGGCATACAGAGTAATTTAATGTGCTCGCGACAATAAACGATTCTGAATCCAGAAATCGACAAAAATTATACAAAAACATTGCCAAATTTGTTTCCATTTATTAAGAAAACTGAAAAT